CTTCCCATTTTTCTCCCTATTTCCAGTTGTATCCACCCTTCTCTATAAAAAGGGTCCCAGGGGCCCTATAGAAGGGGTTGGTCAATTCACCCAAGTAAGAAGGAAGGCTGATCTTGAGAAGTTCAAGGGTAGAGGAAGAGGAGGACGCCCAGGCAAGAGGAGGGGTTCCTACTTGCAGTTCGTCAACACCACTACTGCCACCTCTAGATTTGAATCCCAACCATTTTTTTTCAATTTTAGAATTACTTTATGTTCTTTAATTTTTCCTTATTGCAAATTTATTTTTATTAGACTTAATTTGTGTTTTATTTCTTTTCTGCAGATCTGAAATTCGGCCAAATAAGACGGAAGGCCTAGCTCGAGAAGTTCGATGGTCAAAGGAGAGTCCGGAGACTGCTACCTCTGATCGGATTCTCAGACATTTTTATTTTGTTCCTTTTATTTATTTCTCTGTTATTTATTTTTATGCACTTGTTATTCTCAGTACTGTTCAAATTTGGTTTTAGTGAATTCCATTTTTCTTTAATTAATTAATTTTATATTTCTGCAACTCCCCTTTGTGTTCTCTCTCCCCGATCTAAGTACTTAATTATTTTTCCCTTGCTTCCCTGTGGATATGACCCATTCTCATTACTTTTACTGCGTTTGTAATTGTTTGAGAATCAAAAATATTTTATAAATATTAAACTGGTGTTCCAAAGTGGTTAACGACACGCTTCCAGACACACCAAATGGAAGCCTCATAATGTGAATCTGTTCAATTTGGGGATGGGGTCAGCCAAAGATAGATTTATGGTTCCTCTACTGTTGTGCGTCGTGAGGAAGAAGATGAATGGTGTTCAAGGGATTATAGTGTTGCTGAGACAGGGCTATTTAAGTAAAAATATATGCACATTAATTGTAAAAGGGTAAAATAGGTATTTTGAAAAAAATGACCACCATTTTAACGTTTTCTGTCTTGGTTATTGATGGAAGGGTGGTATTTATTGATTTTTTAAAAAATAGAGGGGAGGTTTTTGCTAAAGTGAAACTATAGGGGAGGTTTTTATGATTATCAGAAACTTTAGGGGAGGTTTTTGTATTTTACCTTTTTTTTTTTTGAATTTGATAGGTATGTGGACCAAATTAGCTGGCCACATTTGATAGGCCATAATCTTGTAAGTTTAATCTAAACCATTGAATTAGAAGAGAAATATAAAATTATACATACAAAGTAGGAAGCTGCTGGTTTTGTGGCAAATGTGAAGTAGGTTGTCAATTAGACTGGATTTGGTCCAATCCGATCCAGTCTAATGTGAGTCCGTTACAAATGGACCAGGTTCAATCCAATGAATATTTTGGATCGGTCCAATTCAATGTATGGACCATTCAATCTGTTTAAATTTGTTTTAATTTAGATTAATTCTAACCCAAACCTGATCCATTAACACCAATATTATTATCTTCTACCAATGGATCAGATCGATATTGGCTCAATCCAGCCCAAACCAATATAATTTAATTATGGATGGACGAGGTAGAATCCAATCCAATGAATATTTTGAACCCTTTTAGGCTGGTCCTGTAGACTATATCCAAACCAATTGGATTGGTTTGATTTCTGATATATTGTCCCAATTCTTATCAATGAGGAATTGGTTCTACCCAATCTTGAACTGGTTGCAATCTGATATATATAAAAAATTAAATATATAATATATTAAATAAATTAATATTATATATAATATTTTCAGTTGATTTATTAAACTTTTGGGTCATTGGGGCAGAGCTGATTGTTGTGAATACCGATGGATTCAATTGTGGATATAAAATTATAGACTCTATCGGGTCATTACAGCCATATAAATAATTGAAAGATATAAGTTGAGAAAAAATATCTGTTTTTGTTTAGTCATTAGTCAGCTCATCGAGAAACTCTTCAGTTTAGACTTTGTCAATTCTTTTTATGTACCAACTTCCAAATCTGGGCAGCTGAATTTCTCCGATAGCGGCAAGGCAACATGCAGAGTGGTTCAGGACCTGCCGTTTTTGGACGTTCTGCGCTGCCAACTTTTCCCCATGAAATCTTGGGTGAATTGCTGAATAGAGTCCAGGGTTTAGAGCGAAAGGGTCAAATCACAACAACGGTTAACACGTGCCTCTAGCAAGAACACAGACAACCTAATTAATTAAACCTCCAAATTAACACGATAGAAGCTGGGTTGAAGAAGTAACTGTGGGTTGAGACTTGAGACCTCTGCTAGCTGCTGTCAACTGTCAATCCTGTGTTGTTGTTTTTGCACTTGATCAAGGCGCTGGAAAAGGTTGGTTGAGTCGGGCTAAATACGTAGGTATTATGGGTCTCACCCTCTTTTAGAATTTGAGGGTTTAATTTTATTATGTGCCTAACTTGTGTTTACTTGTATCATCGGCTCACTCGAAGTTTATCCTTCTAAATTCTAAGTAGCCGTGGAATTAGACCATCCCACTAAAAATTATGTACTATCTCATACGCATACCTCCTCTCGTACATATATGATACACCTCTAATTAACTGATGAGTTATCTCTCTAAGTTTCACTATAAAAACCCTACAACCCTGCTCTGATCTCTCTATCCCATCATCAATATCTTCATCTCTCTCTACTATATATCTTTCTTCTGTCTCTATATATCCGTCTAGCTAGCTTGCCATGAATTCCGTAAAGATCTTCTTGACGTTGGCAGTTGTCATGGCTTTGGCCATTGCACTTGCTGCAACACCCACTACTACTGGAGAAGATAATAAACCACCGACAAACCTCTCTGATGACCTTCCTTTCCCATTTTCTCTACGGGGGAGCAGCCGCTTCCTCGCAGGCGGGGGTGCAATGACTTGTGACCGATACCCTAGCATCTGCCGCACAGTGGGTAGTCTTGGGCCCGACTGTTGCAAGAGGCAATGCGTGAATCTGTCGACCGACCAGTTTAACTGCGGCAAGTGTGGGAAGAGGTGCAAGTACAGTGAGATGTGCTGTGGTGGAGAATGTGTTAACCCATTCTTTAGTGAGAAGCATTGCGGGCAGTGCAACAACCGGTGTGTCAAGGGGACTTCGTGTGTATATGGGTTCTGCAGCTATGCTGGCTAGCTGGCTAATTAATATCCAGTTCATGTCAAGTGTGTTGTGTAAGGTCGGCTTCTAGTTATTTGCATTTACTATGTATATAAGTAAACAATAAGAGACTGCCTTCCCTAGTTGATGGGCTAGGCCATTGTCTCATGTTACAATTAAAGCATGTAACTTTGATAATTAATTATATAATATCTATTGATTGCACTTATATAATTTATCCAATTATTCCTCTTCCTGTTATATGCACATACAAATTAATGCAATTTAATAAATTAATGTAGTGAAATAAAATAATGGATAAAATAATTTTACTTTCCATGTAATACATATAAGTAACCTTGTGACATTTAATTACCTTATTTATATATTTGCCCTTTAGGGGTCGTGGAAAGTTTGGTTCTCATTGACCAAGAATCCCATGTTCTTTTTTCAGATTTATGTGGGGACCATGGAAAGTTTATTTTCCTACGTATCACTTACCTGGACAAGTGATTCTCATCTCTTAGGTGGGAAAAAATAACTTTCCCACCTAGGGGGAAAGTATTCAACATTTGAATGTGACAAAAATGCCCATTTTAATGATGGACTTTTATGGTTAAAATGGTTATTGTCTTATTTACATGAGAAATAAAAAAATATGGGTAAATAAATTTACCTAGGTAAGTTTTTAAGTGTTTCCCAGGAAAAATTTACCCAGGTAACTGCATTTACCCAGATAAGTAACTTACCTAAAAGCGAACAGGGCCTTAAGGTAAATAGTATTTTAAATACCATCTCATTTATTAGAATGATATTTATTTCTCCTTAGAAATTTGTGTTGCATTTTTGTCCGTGAAATTGCATATAAATACTATAAATTTTCAAAAAATAAAAAAGGATAAAAGGCCCTCCATAATGGAGGAATAATTAACTAGTAATAAATAGGTGATGTGGAATGTGTAAGGTGACATTCGTGGGTCGTTACTTTAGGGACATATATACAAAAGACGGTCCTTGGACCACTATGATTTAAATACCACGCATAATAGTATAAAATCTATGAACATTTTCGCTAAGCCAGCATGTTCAGTTTGTAATCTATATGTTGAAGAGTGAACTAAAGATTTCTTACGCTAAAAATCAATCCAATTGGATGAACTTAACCAACCAACCACAATACGAGTTTGTGTTAGGGTTGTTTAACCAATATAATAACGTATAATTATTATTGATTAAACAGCCTCTAATACAATTAATCCAGATTTTAAGATTGAATGGTCAAAACAACGATAATTATTTTGGAAAAATGATCTATTCATTTGATAGAGAGAAGTTTTTTTTGGCTAAAATTGGTCAGAGTATTATAATAATCAAGACGTTTTTTGGTCTAAAAGGTCTACATGGGGTCTACAATGTTTGTAGCTCACTTTGAAAATATATTCAACCACTGAAAGGCAGCTACTACAGTATTATTAAGTCTTCAAAGTTTATATGTATCACATATTAATTTGCCAACTGGGAATGTCTTGGATCAGGGGACAAAGGACGTGCACACCGGTCTAGAGCTCCATATAACTAACTTACCACGTGTTGCTTGTGTCAAGAATCGGGACCCACCATTGAACGGATTATATTCCAACTAAAACAACGGCTGTGCCAAGAATCAGCTTAAGTTTTGACCATTCCATTTGGGCATTATTAATTTGAAAAGCTGCAATTTAGAAATTGTAATTAATTTCTAAACTGTCCAGCTAAATGCAGTAACATCAGAAGGCTGCAGTAATCTTTTGGGCGCGCAATCTAATTTTTGGCTCAGCTGAGCTTGTACGTAGAACCCATCAGATAGTGAGTTGGGTTGTTCAAAGTATTAGACACGTGGCAAGAAGCATGCGCAGAGCAGAATACATGTTTTTGACATTTAATTTGAAGTATTGAACATAGAAGGTACAAGAGCAAAGAGATCAACAACTTGCTGCAGAGGTCATCTGAACTCTGAAGAGAGATCGATGACCCGCCTTTATTGTTTACATATTTAACGAATTAAAATTGCTAGAGAATTAATCAGCAATCAGCCATTAATTAGTTAATTAAGCATAGCTGCACATCCCATACACACACTTGCTTCCCTTCTTGCACTTGTTGTTGCACTGCCCACAATGCTTCTTGTCCATCAATGGGTTCACGCACTCACCTTTGCAACATATCTGTGAGTATTTGCACTTCCTACCACACATCCCGCAGTTGAGCCTGTCTGTCAACACATTCACACACTTCTTCTTGCAGCAGTCAGGCCCAGGACTCCCTTTTGCGCGACAAACTCTAGGAAACTTATTGCATGTCATTACAGTCCTCCGGGCCTTAGCTTGTGCGAGGAATCGGCTTGTCCCCCGGAGAGAAGATGGTTGCTCAGTTTCAGGCAAGGATAGTGTAGAAGTGTCAACTGTGTCATCCTCCTCTACCACTGACTCAACCGACAGTAGTTCTTCTTCTGTTGGTGCTGCCGCAAGAGTAATGGCCAAAGCCATCGCCATTGCTAAGATCAGGAAGATTTGTAATGACTTCATGGTAACAGAAGGTACTGAAGGTATGTGACTTCCTGCAGTTGCCAGCAGTTAGTATATATTAGTGAGGTGATCTAATTTTTTCGGTAGAAGGGGTAGTCTAATTCAACGGCTACTTATTTGGTTCAAGTAAAACAAAGTTAGGCTGCCGGAGAAATTCTGGGACGTCAACTGAAGGGGGGGAAGAATGTCAAAATGATGAAAAGCTTTCTTCCAAGCTTAACAAACTGAAGTGGAATATTATTGAAACACCAAATGGATGTGACGAAATTTTCGTCTTTCTGGGCTGGAAATCCGATTTTCTCTTTCAGGGTTTACCATACGTAGTTAGAGGGTTGTCAAAGACAGTTGTCAACTTTGGGTCCAGCTAGGCGCTAGCTCAGAGAATGAAAGTCTATTCAACATTTGATGCCTTAAAAGTTGACCAAACTGAGATTAATTTGTCCGCTGAAGATGGACTCTAGCCCAGTGTGCCAGAACCGAGAGACGACGCCATCCATGATGTAAGACATCCGTGTTGCTGTAAGCAACCTCTCATACATCATATGTCAGTAGCCATGAAAAACAACGACGTTCGTCGCAAGACTCGCTCATGTGATTGAACAGAGGATCGAGACTTTCTTCTTCAAGCTTAATTAGTTTAATTTGGTAGAAGAAAAACCGTTATAATTGCACTTGCAGCGATCAGCTAGCTCCTTTTCTTCTAAGATTTAATTGTTAAGAGACGCGCTTATATATCTCTCTTATTCCTATCTTCCTTGGTAAAAGTCTACTTTAATTAGTTCTTTAGCTTGACTAATAACCGAGCTATCACGTAATAAACCGGCCAACCATGCATTCTACCGCTACGATATATATATATATATATATGATGGAGGACGATTTGGCTCAACCCCATGAACCAAGAGCATGTGCGCATGACCTGGCTTGGTGAATATTCCAGCCTGGCAGCATGATCTCGACTCGACGGGAAGGAAACGCCAAGTCAAAGACTGACAACTCACCGGGGGCTAACACCTTGGTGAGTCAGTCTCCCACCTAGCTCGGAGAGCCCGGGCTCTCCCCTAAGAGACGCCAAGCTTTCCCCCCACCTTGGAGGAAGCATCTCGGTGCTTCAAGGCAGGGACCTATCTGCCCCGAAGCACTCCGGTATGTGGCAGCTCGGCGAGCCGCATAAAGGAGGGCAGGAAGATTTCTTGCCCTACTGCCATACCCTACAATCTGGTGACAGCAACCATGTCTCATTAGGCAACGTCATGCCTGCCACCTTTAGAAGGTGTCTTACACCTGACAGGCACGTACCCAGCAGTGACGGCCCCGCGCATGCCACCTCAGCCCTGCCAATAACAGCTGCGGCAGGTTGGCAGTGGCGGTTATACCCGCCCTGTCAGAGGCCGATGGGCCAGAGGTAACAGATTTCTGTTATAAGAAGCTTAGTATCAAGGAGGAGGGGGATCTTGATCTTCAACACTCGCGCTATCTTCACTCTTAGCCTTCATCTTCTCTTTGCTTCTCCTATCGAGTACTAACTTAACCATCGGAGTGTTCCCGCCGGGTAACTCCCTCGGGAATGTTCTTCTTCTCAGGTATCTTCTAGAAGCCACGTGAGTGCCAACTAGGAGTGACCGGATCACGCTACATCATTTGGCGCCATCTGTGGGAAACGCTCGGAAAAGCCTTTCTCTAAACCTTCACAGCTCCCTCTTCCTTGAAAACTTGACACTCATGGCTTCCTCAAGCAATATCGGACGAAGCATGGAGATGGATAACTCCAGGGAACAGCCCCAACTTCCTATTGTCTACATCGGATAGTTCACCGTCCCCCTCTCAGCGGACGGGATCCCTAGTTTGAACGTGCCACTTCCAGGGGCACCTGTCGTTGCTCCACTCCCCGTCACGGTCGAAGCAACCTTCACCGAACCCTCAGTTGTGCCTCTAGCGGCCAACCCGAACCAACTGGAGGACTTGGTGTAGTGCATGCGGGCCATGCAGGCCCAAA